CATAGGCTACCCGAAAGGCAATGTGGGTTACTTATTCTATGACCCAAGAGAACAAAAGGTGTTTTGTAGTCGAAATACCCATTTCTTGGAAGTCGATTACATCCTAAACAATCATCATCAAGAAGTTGTTCTTGATGAAGAGAGCTCAGGGGTAGTAGGAGATGTCTTACAAGCTTTAGTTAATGACCAACCTAGGAGATCTACCTGGGTTTCCATGCCTCCAATTCATTTTGGCTATGACCAAGAAAATTACATAGTGGAAGCTACGACAAGTAAGGAGGATCCCGTGACTTATACGGAAGCTATGTTGGACATAGATTCCTTGAAGTGGGTAAATGCCATGAGAGCTGAGATGGACTCAATGGAGACCAATGGAGTCTGGACTCTAGTAGATCCGCCCCCTGTAGTAAAGCAATTGGTTGCAAATTCTATAAGAGGAAGAAGGACCTCGATGGTAAGGTTGAGACCCACAAAGGCTCGTCTTTTGGCGAAAGGGTACACTCAGAAAAAAGGAATCGATTATGAGGAAACCTTTTCACCTGTGGCCATGCTTAAATCCATTAGGATCCTGCTAGCAGTAGTAGCGTACAATGATTACGAGATTTGTAAAATGGATGTCAAAACTGCGTTCCTGAATGGAGATCTTAGTGAAGATATCTATATGCAGCAACCGCAAGGTTTCATAGATGCAGGTCAGGAACACATGGTATGTAAACTAAATCGATCCATATATGGACTTAAGCAAGCTTCTAGGAGTTGGAACATCCGGTTTGACTCTACCGCCAAATAGTTTGACTTTGAGCAAAATCCGGATGAGCCCTGTGTTTATAGGAAATCCAGTGGGGATAAGGTTATGTTCTTGGTTTTGTATGTAGATGACATTCTACTCATTGGGAATGACGTAGGAATGTTGACTATGGTGAAAGTATGGCTTTCACAGCAATTCTCCATGAAAGATCTTGGAGAAGCCACCTACATACTGTGTCTTCGACTCTATAGAGATAGATCGAAGAGGATAATAGGATTATCCCAATCTACTTACATTGACAAAATAGTCAAGAGATACAGCATGGAGAACTCCAAGAAAGGAAATGTTCCTTTCAGGCATGGAGTCACTCTCTCCAAGGGTATGTCCCCCAAGACTCCCAAAGAGATTGAGGGCATGAAGGACGTTCCCTATGCCTCAGCCGTAGGGAGCATCATGTATGGCATATTGTGCACTCATCCTGACATTTCTCAGGCAGTGAGTGTAGTAAGTAGATATCTGTCTAACCTAGGGCAGGAGCATTGGACTGCTGTGAAAAACATACTAAAATACCTTTGAAGGACAAAAGAGTTTTATCTGGTATTCGATGCTGACTTCCAGTCAGATCTAGATGATAGAAGGTCTACATCTGGTTATATATTCATGATAGGATCGTGTGTTGTTTGCTGTAAAAGCAGCAAACAGGGGTCCACGACGGATTCCACAACCGAAGCCGAATACATTGCTGCAAGTGAAGCTTCCAAAGAAGCCGTATGGATGAAGTTCATTCAGGAATTGGGAGTAGTTCCATTCCGCACATCACCCATTCCATTGTTGTGTGACAACGCTGGAGCCAATGCTCAGGCTATGGAGCCATGAGCCTACTCGAAGTCAAAGCACATCGAGAGGAAGTACCATGTATTGTGGGAGATAGTTGGAAGAAAGGACATTCTGATTCAGAAGGTAGCATCAGCGGAAAATGTAGCAAACCATTGACTAAGCCACTGACACAGAAAGTGTTTGAGAAACGCATGGAAAGCATTGGACTCTGGTGGGTCATTGTGACACTAGCAAGTGCACTAGCCACTCAAGTAATAAAGAGATGAGTAGAGTATCGTTCCCACAAGGATTTAGGTAGCAACTACTAATACTAAACCAGCCAGCTCTTATCTGATTAACCGAATACTACAATTTATTCAAATATGAAATTCTAAACTACAAACTATCTAATTGGCATTGGTTCAATCACCTTGCATTCAAGTTGAGAGAATATGCTAAAATTACAAATTCATGATTCAGCAATCAGCCCTCTTAGATCATTCAAATAGAGTATGATTCAGCCTTGGTTTGGTGAAGTCCCAAGGCAATGAACAATCTATTTCAAGTACATGTTCATCCTATGTATGAATGGTGATTCTTATATCTCTATCAAGAATCTAATCATTCATGCATGCATTAGATCAAACAATTCAAGGGCAGCAATTCAAATTGAATTGATCACCAACTGAATTGTGCAAGTTATCTCTAACCTTGCATTCAATTCAGTTCTTCAGTAGCAGACCCGAATTTCTAGAGTCTCTCTCAAGCACTCTAGAAATTCCAAGAGGTTAGAATAGATCAGCCAAGCTGAATAATGAATGTCTGAATTTTTTCTCAAGCAATTTAGACATTACAAATCTCAGATCTGAAATTTCAGATCTGGTTTTGTAAGAGAACAAATTAGCCCATCAGTTCTACAATCAATTCTCTAATTCAAGAAACATCAAATGTTGGATCTAATCCATTAGAATGATTGAAGAAAACTTAATTACAAAATCTGAATTTACAGCATTCAATCTCTATTACAACAAGAAAGAAAGAAAGAAAGAAGTAGAAATTACATGATCTAAAGCTGAATTCGAATTCAAAGAAAACAAAAAAACTGAGTAAGAAAGTAACCTAGATCTCTCAATCAAGCTTCCCCTTTTTTGAACTCACCTTCTTCTCTCTTAGATGCTTGGATCTCTTCAGCTCCTTCTTCTTCTTGCACCTAGCTCTCTTCTCTCATCTTCTTGAATTTCGAACCCAAGGGACTAGAGAGCCTTGAACTCAAGCAAATGAACAGCTCTCCCCCTTCAAGAGACCTCCTTATATAGGCTTTCAAGGAGTCTAGAAGCTGCCCCTTCTAGGCTCTCTTGAAGCTTCTAGAATTGGGTGCACTTCACCCCTCTTGAACCTTCTAGAGTGCTGCCCCCTTTCTCCTTCTTGAAGCCTTTAGAAGTTGCCGCCCCTTGCTCCCTTTGGGCTGCACTTTGGGCTACAACTTAGCTGAGTTTTGAGCATATTTTGGCTGCACTCTAGGCTGTTCTTAGGCTGAAATGAGCATCCTCTTTGCTGGGCCGAATTTAACCTTCTTGCTAGGCTCTCTCTTTGGGTTCTCCCAAAGAGTGTAGCATGAGCTGCATGGACCGATTGCTCCTCCATTGCTCTCTTGGCTGGGTTGGGCTAAATTAATTAAACTTTGGCTCTCTTTTCTTGCTTTATGCCTTCTTTTTCTTGAGTTGGTTTCCCCTGAATTCTTTCTTGAAATCAAGCTAAGATGGGGTGAAATTCAATCAAATCGGCATAAATTCCATACAAAAACTGCATAAATTGTAAGTGAACCATGTACTCATAAAATACCCCTACACTTAAGCTTTTGCTTGTCCTCAAGCAAAGACATCAGCCATAAATTGATCATCCCCCCTTTTTATTCTCACCATTTACCGGATGAGTTTGTAGGAGGAATTTGCATTGAGTGGTCGGGAAACATTTTGTAAGTATTCAGCTCTTATCCATATAAAATACTATTTAACACATGCATAAGAGCCAAGGAAGGAGAGAATATGAGATTCTTTAAGCTCTAGTTTTCACTCCCGTTCAATATGTAGATCGGCTCCTTGACTATGAAAACTAATCATCAATTTGAACTAGGTTCGAATCTGTAACTGCACCTCATTGAGAGTTCAACTGCATTTTGTCCCCTTGAACCTCAGCCGTCACCAATTTTTCTTTTTCTTTCCTCAATTGTTTTCTAGGTGTGAGTGCATTTTATGCTCCATCTCACCCTTTTCTTCTTCTTTTGGTGTGAGTGCATTTTATGCTCCATCTCACACTTTTTTTTTTGGTGTGAGTGCATTTTATGCTCCATCTCACACTGGTCACAGGCTTGAGGCAGATAACAAGACTCACATTTCAAGCTGCTAGTTTTACTATTCAGCTCGGAATAGCGGAGTCAATTGGGCTTTGTCCTTTTTGCATTTGTTGAATCTCATGCATCAACAATTTAGAAGTGAACTAGCTCGATTGACCATTATTGATGAAATCAAGTGCTTTCATACACATGAAGGTAGTTAGGGCTAGTCATGATGAAAGACATATTCAGCCCCCTTAACCTCATGCATGTGCTAAGTTGGATCATTCTCAAGAATAAAAACTAATACAAACGTTGGTCTCCCTCAACTCTATATACTCCCTCTTTAAATTCACCTAATAAACAACAATGAACTTGGGGGATTTCAGTCTAATTGGTCAAGTCATTGCCTGCATGTGTGTGTTGGGGTGATTGAGGTGCATGGTTCCAGCCCCATACCCTGGCCTCAGCCTAACTCCCCCACACTTAAGATGAACATTGTCCCCAATGTTCCTAGTGTTAGGGAGTAACAATAAATCCAACAAGAGCAATACCAAGTGAAGAGAGTGGTGAAGAGGACTTCCTGAAGAATAAATTGTGCACTGGTTCTTTTAGTAGGAAGCCTCTTCTACTAGAAATTATTCCAAACTAGAAGGAGAGATTAGATGCTTTATTATTCTAACTAACATCCTAAAAAGAATAAAAAAGAAGGAATTAGTATGCAAGTTAGACAGTTTATGACTAAGTATTATCATGCTGGAGGGTCACTGATTATCTAGATAGAGAGTGAATGGAGGGGGCACTATGCCGCCCACCAAATATGGTTTCAGGCGCTGACCATTTACCTTAAATGTGCCTTGAACCGAATGGGTGACCTCTATGGCCCCATGGGGAAAAACCTGTGTAATTGTGAAAGGTCCAGACCACCTGGACCTTAGCTTTCCTGGGAACAGGCAGAGACGGGAATTGTACAATAACACTTGCTGGCCTACATGAAAATCCCGTCTCAGCAAATAGCTCCTTTTCTGTTGTGGTGTAATTTAGTTGTGCTCCATTCAAGGTTCTGCTAGCATAGTAAATCGGCTAAAGATGTTTGTTCACTCTTTATCCTAAAACAGCTCCTACGGCTGAGTCACTCGCATCACACATTAGTTCAAATGGAAGTGTCCAATCTGGCGCTATCATGATGGGTGCATTAATCAACTTGTCTTTCAAAGTGTTGAATGCCTGTAGGCATTCTAATGAAAATTCAAAAGCCACTTCTTTCTGAAGCAAAGTAGACAATGGCTTGGCTATCTTTGAAAAGTCCTTAATAAATTTTCTATAGAATCCAACATGCCCCAAGAAGCTTCTTACAGAACCGACAGATGATGGGGGTGGCAACTTCTCAATTGCCTCCACCTTAGCTTTGTCAACTTCTATACCTTTCTGTGAAATCTTATGTCCAAGCACTATGCCTTCCTGCACCATAAAATGACACCTTTCTCAGTTCAGCACTAGATGTGTCTCTTCGCATCTTCTAAGCATCTGTTCCAAATTATTCAAGCATGCATCAAATGAAGAGCCAAAAACGGAAAAATCATCCATAAAAACCTCAATAAAGTTTTCAACCATATCAGAAAATATGGACATCATACACCGCTGAAAGGTTACTAGGGCATTGCACAATCTGAATGGCATCCTTCGATATGCAAAGGTACCATAAGGGCAAGTGAAGGTGGTCTTTTCTTGGTCCTTCGGTGCAATTGGGATCTGATTGTACCCTAAATTTCCATCCAAGAAACAATAATACTCATGCTCGTCTAGCTTCTCTAACATTTAGTCCATGAATGGGAGAGGAAAGTGGTCTTTATGGGTGGCTTCATTTAATTTCCTATAGTCAATGCATACTCGCCACCCGATGATAGTTCTAGTTGAGATGAGTTCATTTTTTTTCATTTAGGACAATGGTCATACCCCCTTTCTTGGGCATGACTTGTACGGGACTCACCCAAGAACTGTCAGAGATAGGATAAATGATCCCGACATCTAAGAGCTTAATGACTTCAGCCTTCGCCACCTCTTTCATGTTTGGGTTTAGGCATCTTTAGGGCTGAACCGAGGGCTTGCTGTCCTCTTCCATCAAAATTCTATGTGTGCATATTGATGGGTTAATGCCTTTGATGTCCTCTATCCTCCAAGCTATTGCATTTTTGTGTTCCCACAACACTCTTAGCAATTTTTCTTTTTGTAATGGGTTCATGGATGTGGAAATTATTACAGGGAGAGTTGATGGTTCCTCAAGGAAAGCATACTCCGAGTGGGGTGGTAATTGCTTCAGTTCAAGGGTAGGGGGTTCTTGAGATGACGGCTCACTTGTTGGTACAAGAGTTTTGCCTAAGTTTTCTAACTTGAGAAATCCCTTCCCCTTTATTTCCTCATTTTCTCCCATTTCAATTTCCCCTTGTTGTAGGCAGGGTTCAAGAGGGTCAGTCGATCTGCTCACCTGGAAGCAAGCATTAACTGCATCACCAATAGCATCAATTAGGTAACAAAAGTCATCACTAGAGGGTGCATTTTTCATGGCATCAGACATTTTAAAAATTATCTCCTCATCTTGTATCCTAAGGCTACGTTGTCCTTGTTGGACATTAATCATTGCCTTCCCGATAGCCAGGAAAGGTCTCCCTAGGATGAGAGGGACATCCACATCTTCTTGCATGTCCAATACAATAAAATCAACGGGAAAAATAAATTTGTCTACTTTAACCAACACATCCTCAATGATCCCCCTAGGATGCTTAATGGACCTATCTTCCAATTGCAATGCAACTCTGGTAGGTTAGGGCTCTCCCAATCCCAATTTTTTGAAAACCGAGTATGGCATTAAATTTATGCTAGTTCCCAAATCACATAAAGCTTTTTTAATTTTTAAACTTCTTATAGTGTAAGGGACAGTGAAACTCCCTAGATCTTTAAGCTTTTGAGGCAACTTGTTAAGAAGGATTGCCAAGCATTCTTCATTTAGAGCAACCGTAGCCACATCTCCCAATTTCCTTTTGTTTGCCAATAGTTCCTTCAAAAATTTTGCATAGTGGGGCTTCTGGGCTAAAGCATCAGCAAAAAGAATATTAATATGTAAACTTTTAAATATCTCAAGGAACTTACCGAATTCCTTTTCAAGCTTGTGTTGCTTCAGCCGATTAGGAAAAGGAACTTGTGGCTGTTGGTGCAGTTCTTGCTGCAGTTCAGATTGCTCCTTCTTTTGGTTTCCGGCTTTAAGGGTTGCATTTGCCTTGGGTTCAGCCCTTGCTTTCTTCTCTACTTCAGGAAGCTCCTTACCACTTCTTAAAGTGATAGCTTGCACTTGTTCTCGTGGATTCACCTCTATATTGCTTAGTAATGTGCCTGGTATCCTTGCTAAGATCAATTGCGCCAGCTGCCCAACCTAATTTTCCAAGTTCTTTATTGAAGCCTCTTGGTTTTGAAACCTGGTTTCAGCACTGGCTATGAACTTTGTCATCAGCTCCTCTAAATTAGATTTTTGTTCTGGCTGATGAAAACTTTGTTGGAAGGGCTTCGGGGCATGCTAATTCTGCCATGATTGGTTCGGGTGTCATTTCCATCCCGGTTGAAAGGCATGAGGGTACTGATATCTTTGTTGCCTTGGAGGGTAGCCGACAAAGTCAACCTGTTCAGTAGACTACCTAAACTGATTGCCAACTTGGCATTCAGTACTGATATGGCCTCCCCCACACAAATCACATGTCATGGGCTGCACATGCATGGCTGCCATCTGCATCTCATCTAATTTCTTGCTAAGTGCACCAATTTGAGCGGATAGAGTCGTGTATGAGTCAACATTATGAACGCCATGCTGCTTTCTTGCTTGTATTCTTTCTGAATGCCAATAGTAATTATTGGCTGCCATCTCTTCTATAAGTGCATGGGCCACTTCAGGGGTCTTATTATTGATGGAGCCCCCGGATGTTGCATCTAGGATGGTCTTATTTCAATCGGTTGGACCATTGTAAAAGGTCTGCACTTGCAACCATATCAGAAGGCCATGATGAGGAACCCTCCTTAACAGCTCCTTATAGCCATGACTCATAGAGAGATTCTCCCTCTTGTTGGAAGAAAGTGGTAATGTCATTTCTCATTTTTGTTGTTTTCGAGGGAGGGAAGTATTTAGAAAGGAATCGGCTAGCCATCTCATCCCAAGTGGCTATAGATCTGACTAGTACTGAATTTAGCCAAGCCTTGGCTTTATCTTTCAATGAAAATGGGAATAACCTTAGCCTTATAGCATCATCACTTACCCCATTATGCTTGAAGGTGTCACAAATTTCCAAGAAATTGGCTATATGGGAATTTGGATCTTCGTGAGCCATACCATAGAACTGCACTGTATTTTGAATCATTTGAATTATGGCTGGCTTGATTTCAAAGTTGTTAGCAGCAATGGCCGGCCTCACAATGCTCGAAGCAGCCCCAGTTAGGGTGGGCTTGGCATAATCCATCATGGTTCTAGGTTCAGCCATCTCTTCTATTTCTGGTCTGACTTGTCTAGCAGCTCTTAGGCAGATATGGAGAGTCCTTTCAATATCTGGATCATAAAGAATTTCCTCTAGTTCAAGTCTGCTTGTCATAAACTGTAAAAGTCAAAGCAATAAAAAGACTAGTATCCACAAAAGAATATGAATAATTTAACCAATCAATGATCCTACTCTAACTGAAATGTACAAGGCAATTAAGAATACAAAATTCCAATCCTAACATCAATAAGCAGATCTGAAATCTACTGCAACCAGATCTGAAATAGGACTAGAATCAAGAGCTTTAAGCTGCTCTTCAGGTTCCAACTTGTATAAACCTTATGCAATCTTCAGCAATGAAAATTACTTTCACAGATCTGAAATCTTAGCTACTGAGAACAGCTATATACAGATCTGAGATCAGATCTGAAATTTCAGCAGCTACTGCTATTTGCAAATTTCTTTCTCCTTGTATCGATCTGTTCTTATTGCTGAAATCAGTAGCTACTGAAGCTATACTATTGCCATTCAATGTATAGGTCTGAAATCAATAGCTAGAACAACTGTGCTCAGGTCTGAGATGTGATTTCAGCAGTGAGAGTGAGTGTACACAGACCTGAAATCAGTGGTTATACTATGCATGGTAGCAAAGTTTCAGATCTGAATATACCGAAATCAGATCTGTCACAACTTGCTTTGAATTCTGATTTAATCTGAAATCATATCTGTATTCACCTCTGAAACCTACTTCAATTCAAAGATTTAGCAGGTCTTATTAAATCGGAATTGAAACGCATATAAGATTTGGTATGTGTTCAGATCTGATTGCAGCGGAGATAAGTAATGTAATCAGATCTTAACCACACCATTTTCATAAAGTATGCAGAACAAAAAGAGTAGCTACAGCAACTATATTGAGTTCAGATCTGATTTCTGAGGAGTTTTGATCTACTAAATCATTTACACATTAAGATCTGCAATCTTACATTTCAGCAGCTTGTATGGCTGCCATCTACTGTGATCATGGTGAATTCAGCAAGGAGAATTGGCATATACAGATCTGAAATTAGTATATCAGGTCTGAAATCATGCATATCAGATTTCAGATCTGAAATTTACGAGGGTACGTGCATACACATTCAGATCTGAAATTTTAAATTTTAGCAGCTACTTGATGCTAGGACAGGCTGATATAGAAATTCAGCAATGGGTGCAAGTGTATTCAGATCTGAAATTAGTGGATCAGGTCTGAAATCATGCATAACCTGTGATCAGATCAGTGTATCAGGTCTAAATCATGCATATCCACTGATTCCAAATCAGGTCTGTTCTAGCTTGCTTCCCATATACTACAACCAGATCTGAATTAAGGCTGGAATCAAGAGCTTTAAGCTTCTTATTATTTGTATAACTTGTATACATCAAATAGTTGCAGAGACCTGAAATCGGGTCTGCAACCTATGCTACTGATAGCAGTCAAATTCAGATCTGAGTTAGATGAATTCAGGTCTGAGTTTAGATGAACTCTAATCTGATTTCATCTAAATCAAATGATTTCAGATCTGCAATCTGAGTTCATACCACCATCCTAATAGGGTACAGATGTTGTACATGATTTCTACACCTTGGGATCTGAAGTTTATGAGGGTATATGCAAGAATCCTTTACACCTTCAGATCTGTAATTTTGCAATTTAGCAGCTACTGATGTTAAGTTCAGTAGCTAGAACCACAGTTATCAGGGCTAATATGAGAATTCAGCAAGGTGTATTGGTGTATACAGATCTGAGATCAGTATATCAGGTCTGAAATGATGTAATACCACTGATCTTAGGTCTGTACAATAGTTGTTCTAGCTTGCTTCTCATCAGTCCTGATGTATCTTTGAATGGGGGTGAGTTACAGATCTGAAATCAGACCTGTACTCACACCATTTCAGATCAGAATTTCAGATCTGATCTCAGATATGAAGCTCAGATTCGAAAGCAGACATACCATTTCTTTCTTTTTCTTTTAAGATGGAAGAAAACTAAAACAAAAGAAAGTAAACTAACCAAAATCTTTTTAAGCGAGTGCGGATTTGATTGCTGAATTCAAGAAACAACAAGTAATGCAATCAGATCTGTACTCTTTTGAGATAATGAAGCTAAAAAAAAAAGAGAGTGATCAGATCTACATAAACTAAACTAAAACTGAAATTAAAGATGGAGCAATCAAGTATTAAGAGAGGAAACCGGCTCCATCAACGAAGCCATTGCATTCAAAACTGAAATTTAAGATGTAGAATTGAAAACCAACAATGAATGCAAAGCTACAAATCAGATTAAGAATGGCCAATGGTTCCTAATATTGCTACAATAAATCCAGAGCAACAGCGCCAAAAACTTGGTGGGTCATTGTGACACTAGCAAGTGCACTAGCCGCTCAAGTAATAAAGAGATGAGTAGAGTATCATTTCCACAAGGATTTAGGTAGCAACTACTAATACTAAACCAGCCAGCTCTTATCTGATTAACCAAATACTACAATTTATTCAAATATGAAATTCTAAACTACAAATTATCTAATAGGCATTGGTTCAATCACCTTGCATTCAAGTTGAGAGAATAGGCTAAAATTACAAATTCATGATTCAGCAATCAGCCCTCTTAGATCATTCGAATAGAGTATGATTCAGCCTTGGTTTGGTGAAATCCCTAGGCAATGAACAACCCCTTTCAAGTGCATGTTCATCCTATGCATGAATGATGATTCTTATATCTCTATTAAGAATCTAATCATTCAAGCATGCATTAGATCAAACAATTCAAGGGCATCAATTCAGATTGAATTGATCACCAACTGAATTGTGCAAGTTATCTCTAACCTTGCATTCAATTCAGTTCTCGAGTAGCATATCCGACTTTCTAGAGTCTCTCTCAAGCACTTAGAAATTACAAGAGGTTAGAACAGATCGGCCAAGCTGAATAATGAATGTCTGAATTCTTTCTCAAGCAATTCAGACATTACAAATCTCAGATCTGAAATTTCAGATCTGATTTTGTAAGAGAACGATTAAGCCCATCAGTTCTACAATCAATTCTCTAATTCAAGAAACATCAAATGCTGGATCTAATCCATTCGAATGATTGAAGACAACTTAATTACAAAATCTGAATTTATAGCATTCAATCTCCATTACAGCAAGA